CCCACACAGACCAGCTATCAGGCATTTGATGCCTTTTCACCCTAGAGAAAAATATTTTGGCAGATAAATACTTTTTAAGCAATGACACCGGAATTCAAAGCACATTCTTTAGCAGTGGCAATATTTTGAAGCAGTGAAAGATTTAAGATATATTTACAATCAAAAAGATTAAAGCTCCTTCTATCTTGGATGGGGTGGGAGTGAGAACCAATGAAAGGATCAAATGGGACACAGTGTATTAAACGTAACCTTGCTTCAAAGCAGGCACACCCTCGCTGCAATTTATTAAGGAGAGACAAAGCTACCTGTTTTTTCCAGATTTCAGAGAGGAATCCTAAATCCAGACCTCACACTCTGGAATCGAAAGATCCATCATCTTGACAAAGCTTAACGTATCTTCCCAAATGTCTGCTAGATTCTGCTGGAAAGTTTAAGGTTTGCCATAGGAAAAAGGAAAAAAAAACAAAAAAACCCCAAAAAAACACAACCCCACAACCAAACCAAGACACATGGTATGAAGTCAAGGAGATTTTCTACTTGGGCTTCTGACGAGGATATTTCCCATGTCTGCTGCAATCCCTAACATACTGAACTACTTCTTAGCTCTTAAGAGATCTGGGTCTGCTCTGCTTTAAGTTCAGTTAAAGTTCATCTGGCAGCCTCATCAGCCTGCTCCCCTAGCAAGTGTTTTTGGTCTTCGTACCCACACCAGAGGTAAAAAAAAGCTTGCAATGATAAGGCTTTTTTTTTTTTAGATTAAAAAAATAACTAACACAAAATGGATGTGGAGAGGGTCCTATGAAAATTCCATTAAATCTATATTCTGCAGACACTTAATTGTTTTCCTAAGACTCAAAGCAAAAAATTGAGTATCTTATTAGCTATTTGTTGGAAGACTATGGTCTCAAATCAGTTAACAAACAAACGTAACAGACACTCTTGCATGCAGTGCTTCTGCGTGAGTAGGTACAGTTCCTGCATTTTCAATCCCTATTCAAATTAATTCTGAACTGGGGAGAAGGGCACAGCATTTATCTTCTCTGTCTTCCCACCAGGAACATCCAAGCTCTGTAATCTAAAAGGCTAAGTACCTCTTTACACAGTCACCCACTTCCTAGATTTCAGCATGTATAGTTTTAAGAACACTGAGGTAAAGTCTCGTTTTCAGATACTGTCCAAGAAGTGTAGCGCTCTGATTTTTCTCTATTTGACTGGAAAGTTCTACCTCTTGCAGAAAGAGGGCGGGAAGACTCCTAGAGCAGTAAGAAAATAGCACATTTACAACTAGGTGTGACTTACCTGACATAAATCAGTCTTGATGCTGCCCAGAAGAAGGGCTACAAGTTATTAAACACTTGTTAAGCACCACTGCCCATCAACCCCTGCACTCATCTAGCTTTTGGCTTTCACTGTGCAATTCCTTAGAGCAGGTTCCCTTCTCTAAGTACTACAGGATATGAATTGCTCAAGACAAATTGGTACTAGGTATTGTAAGCAATTATGAGAAGATAAATTAGGGTATGGAATGCAACTAAAACTAACTTGAGATGTTAGAAGGGAGGAAGAGTGGGGACAAACAGCTATCTGTAGCAACACCGTACAGGAAAGACCTAAAAACATTCTTCTGATATATGTACTAAAAAGAAAAAAAATTATTATAGGGATGGCTGGATTGCAGGTGGGGTTGGACAATCTTTATATGCCACATGTATGAATTAACTAGTTATTTTTAAACCTATCTGAAGCTTTAAAGAGCTATTCCAGGACAGAAATACTAACTCACCTTCAGGTTTTCTGGCTCATTGCCTTAGTGGCATATCACATATGCAAAACAATAGCTTTTTCCATAGCTAGCTGGGACAAGTACATTACAACCATACAGAAATTTGTCTAACTTTTTATAGCATTTAAAAAAAAAAAAAAAAAAAGAGATAAGCTGAAAACTTTCATTAGAGTTGTTTCAGTAAACAAACTGAAGTGAGAAGCCAAATTAACCATGTATATAACACTTGGGCCTAGGAAAATCTATTAAAAATAAGTATTTCTCCTATCAGAGAAGATGCAAAGGAGTCTGGATTTAACTGAATGAATCTTAGCAACAGTTTTTAATCACACCACTTTGCACAGCACCTCCTTTTTTGCTGCTTTGAACACTAATATATTGTTAGAACAGGCAGTTCATTCCCTCCCTTAGAACCACCACACTGGTCACGGTAGTGGTCAGAGGATACATACTTTATTTCATTTCTAATTTCATCCATTACAAAGTGTACTACACTGAGCTTTCCTACAAAAATTACCACATCACTCTGAGACTTACCAGTCTTAACAGTTATCAATGGATAAGAGAGTGAAAACATACCAAAGATCAGGTTAAAACAGTGTTTCATCCTGCATAGAATTTTAAATCCCTCTTCTTCAAAAAATCAGTAAAGTTGGAACTTCAAATTTATTTACCCTACAATGATTTGCTCTGGGAATTTTTTACAGTGACATGAACTGAAACATTATTTAGTGTTGTTCACTCTGCAATAGAGCATTATCTCTTTATCCTTGTATTTCGTTGCTATGGAAGCAACATGAAGGTATCTAAAATACTTTAAGGATATAAACACGCACTGAGAGGGATCACCAAATCCAAGCAGCCATTTAAAGGAGGAAACAGGACACATACCCCAATGAACAATTTGAAATATTCCACTTAACGCCTAATTATCTGTTACAACAAAATATACATGCTACTCTAGCCTAACCCAAGGAGGAAAACAATGAAGCAGAAATATAGTCAATAAACATAGTAACATTTACAAATTTCAGGGGCTTCTTTTGTTTCAACTGTGCTATCCAAGTCCAGTTTAGCAATTTGCCTCCCTTTTGAAAGTACAACTAATAAACCACAGTTGAATGTAACTTAACTTCTGAGGTATACCCTGTAGAAGGAACTGGCGCTCTAGGCACTAGCTTAATTTTCACTTAGAACAAAGTTCACCAGATCACTCAGCAAGGAATTAGCAACACTTGCTTCTCTACAATTTTTTTTTTGTTATGCTAACATAAATGGAATAACTAAACCATGCTCACCACAGATGTTTCCCAATGAGATCAATACAACACACAGTATCAAACAAGCCGTCTATCCTGGATCAATCCATCAAATTTTAGTTATAACTCAAACTCATTTTTTGAATGGCTATGTAGAGTAACAGTCACAAAACACTTTTTATTGAAATACTGTTAAAAACTTCCTGGTCAATGCCCCCTTTAATTCTCAATGGTGATAAAAAGAGATTTTACAGCATCCTCTGGCTAGGAAAAGGAGTCTGAAGCAGTTAATCAAATTACTTGGTACCACCCCCTCCTTTCTTTTTTGCTGAGTAACATTCACTGCTGTTTCTTCAGATCCCCGCAGAACAGCACACATGCATACGATAACCCACCAAGGAGGGGTCAGCAGCCACAGGACTGAAGGGGAAGCCTTAGGCTGTGTGTGTAACCAACAAGGGATACATCCTGTTCACTCTCCTGCAGATGCTGGGAGGCACCACTGGAAGGTGGCATTCTCACACTGCAATTCCTGGTGCTTTGAGTAAGCTAAAGGTGGGAATTCTACCTCCCCAAGACAGCCTGTCAAGCCCACTGCTGTTAAGTACCCTAGTAGGGACAATGTCAGGCTGAACAAAACCAGCATTTTAGTTCTCATCGCTTTTCCTTTTCTCCTACTGGCCTATGAAGGCATTCTCACGTGTGGGGTAGGACAATCTTGCCCTTCATTCTGTTTCCAAGCCCTCCCTATCCAACTCTGTGACACAACTTGAGAGTCAGTCCTGTGTGCTACCAGTTCCTCCTCTTCATGGTTATTGAGCAAGTCCTCTTTCTGCCACCCACAGGGTTTAGTTCTGGTCCTCCCACACTGAAGGATTGTGGTGGCATCACTGATACTTCCTTGGAAGAAGGATTCCAGCAATAGGTGAAGGAGTGAACGTGGCTTAAGCATAATACTGTCACATGCCTGAAAGGCTCATTTTGAGCCAAATATAGCAGCAAAAGGGAAAAAACAGTACCCGGGACTTCACTGCTCTCTCCCAGCTTCATAAAGGTGTTTGAGGGTAAGTTACTGTATGACACATTCGTCTCACTTGCTTTCACAAAATGATAGAAAAGCAGCAACAGGAACCCAGTAAAAACCTCACCCAAATAAAAGGAGTGAAAGAAATAGCAAGGCAAACCAAATGCTTCCTACTCTGTGCAACCACAGATGGTAAAGACTGGAATCCACTGCCCTGTGTATCAAGCTCCACATGCACACACAGGGAAATGCAGACTGTCAAGAGAATTACTGAAAATGCCTTAACATCCAGTGAAATCAGTTTGTTAGAAATTGGTAGCAATAACTGCCATTAAGGAGGAAGGATACTATATAGACAGATTTTCTCTTCACTACATGAAAAGAAAAAACTCATCCATTAAGGAAATATGAACACTACTCAAATCAACACTTAGTTCTTGGCTGATATTATCCTGACTGGCCAGTAACCACAGTACAGAAAGCAAAATTAAAAAGTAATTTTTAAAAATAAGTCACAGCCAAAATTTGTTTTCTGAAATCAGATAAACTATTTCAAGTGTGATCAAAATAAAAAAGGAATATTTCTTCATGTCACTGTGTTTGGAGATCAAGTAAAAAGACAGTAAAACAGAAGAACACATTTTGAACTGAAGTATTACAGGAACTTTTCCTTTTTGCAATTCAAATATCTTGGTTAATTCTAAAGGAGTTTCCAGGTATCTTTCCTTTAACAATCTACAGGGAACGGTTGAGCAAAAATACAATTGAACTAGACTGGGGGCCAAGGTTTTTTTTTCAAGCAGCATAAGAAAAGGCCTCCCAATTCTTATTTATTAAAAAAATGCATCAGTAAGGTGACATCAGACCACCACAAGACTCCCCACATAAAAAACTGTAGTGCAAACTATACATTTAACAAAATCCACAGCCTTACCAGTCAGTAACAATTCTTCTTTGTTTTGTATTCCATGAAGCAATTTGATTAAATGGACAGATGTAGAGATGAGACCCAAGTTCCTATTATTAAATGGGGATGGAAAAAAATAAAGTCACTTCATAAGAAATACACTCAAATAAAGCAAAAAGGCTTTTCACTCAAGTTAATAGCAAGTCCAACATCTTCAGAAACTCTGAAATAAAAAGCAGTTTCTCCTACTTAACTGTGCCTATCAGTAGCCACTCTACTATCACTAGAAGCAAAAGGAATGGGTTTAGTGCACAAACAGCTTTGTGTAAAAACTTTGCTTTGTTTGAACTTCAAGTGTTCAGGGAAACTGTTACTTAGGGATAAACTTTGAGGATTTTAAATATCTAGGAAGTTATTAGTGACAGCCAGTTCATACAGAACTCTTCGAAGGAAGCAGAGAAGCTCAAGTAATCATTTATCCTTTCTCCACTGAGAAGGAATCATAGGCAGAATCTCAGACTGGTTTGGGTTGGAAAGGACCTTTAAAGATCATCTAGTCCAATCCCCCTGCCGTGGGCAGTGACAACTAGATCAGGCAGCTGGAAGTCCCATCCAACCTGACCTTGAACACTTACAGACATGGAAAAACATGGTGATAGCGAAGATACACCAGTGAAGTGAAGACATGTGGAATCAAAAACACCAAAATAATTCCACAGCCAAAGACCAGCAATCCTGGAAGCAGACAACACACAAAACCAGGGTGCGCATGGAACAGGAGTAAAAACACAAAAGTCAAACAATACTGTATGAAAGCTGAAAACTTCATCTGTTTAATTTGCTTGTACTTTAGTAGTCGAGCAATTTGTTTGAGATACGATCGGCAAAGATCTGGCTGAAACTTCAGAACACTGAAATACCCGCTCTACTACACCTCCACACCCATGCATGAGTTACTTGAAAAATATATCATCTCATACGAATGCTGAGTAATTGTCTTCTGCAGATGTTTGCTAGACAAATTCCCATTAATTTCTAACACAGAAGAGAAGCCAAAAATATATATTTATAAATATATAATACACACATGCACACTGGTATACATGCAATCTATTAAAATCAAAACATTTCCCATTCCTTCAGACCCTAAATTTCCTCACAGCACACAAGGCACAAAAAATTACCCTAGAAGGTACAAAGCTTCATATTCCCCAACAGTTTAAAAGCTGCTACACAATTCACGTGTTTACAATCTTTGCATTCTTTCCTAGAAACAATCAGTTTTGATTTGCAAACAGTTTGTAGTTAGAGGTGGTTTGTTTTTTTTTTTAAATATCTGAGTGTTGCACACTTCAAACAAATATCAAAGGCACATAATTTTTCCTTCCATTCACAACTTTTTTATCATTCAGGACATTTAATTCCTACAGAAGTTGTGCATTTGCAGCATTTAAAATCAACACAAACATATGGCTATATGTGCACAGCTATGTACAGCTGGCTCAAAGCACCTAGTGCAGTATTAAAAGGCATATGAATTGTTATGGTGCTACAAAGCCAAAACAGCATCTGACGAGTGACCCACTGAGTCCCTCACTGTCTCAAACATGGTCAGGATTTTCTATACACACAGGCCTTCTCCCTCCTCTAGGCTAAAGGAAAGTACAACTATTAGCACCAAGCTTCATAAATGAGCAATGCCTCACTGCCTAGTGAGGGGAAATACACAGCACATGTGTAACCAGTGCACAGCACATTTTTGTTCAGAAGCAGGCTGGGTATCTGAATTGTATTGGAAAAGGGTAATCTCCCAGCCATGCAATTCTATTCCCCCTGTTTTGTTAACATGAGTAACTATGGAGCTACAGCCTGGCTGAACATCCACCCAGGAAAAAAAATCATAAACCTGTATAAAAATTTTCTGTTTAGAACAGTTCCTTGACCCACAACATGATCACGAGTGCTAGTACTGTAGCACTGCCAGAAACAAAAAGGTAGGAGCCTGAATTTAGATTTACCTTATTTTGAAACTAATGCTTTCTATGAAAACTCCTGCAACTTTTGCAGCATTAACAAAATTCTGCCCCAGCACAGAAGTTGCGACTTTTTCCCATGTGAAAATCATATTTAGTTCAATTTAAAAAATTTGGCAAGTCCCAAGAAACCAAATTTTAAGATTGTACTCTACAACAATACTTCATGATCTAACAAACTTATAACAGGTTTCTGGGTGGTTTTGGATTCTTGAGGGGGGATGTTTGTTGTTGGTTTGGTTTTGTTTTTTTCCCAAAACAGCAGGTAGACTACCAAGTTCTCAGTAACTACAGCTGATTGTATCCCAAGCATCCCTTCAGTGCTGCAACAGATGCAGGTTAAAACAGAGAGGCTACACAACATAAGGTGACAGACTGACTTCTTATTATCCATTAATATATGTTTACCTGCAGACGTATCACGGTTGATATGCACAATTCTACATGCTATACTTTGCCACAAGTGCCAGACAGATCTAAACATACCTTTAAAAAACACACTAATCCTGTAACTGGTAATGAATAAGTAATTAGTCTTAACTATATTATCAAAAAAATTAAACAAACAAAAGAGAAAAAAGGATAGTTCTACAGTCAGACTTCCAAAAGCCTTGTTTCATTTGCATAATCAACTCATACTAAGGACACAAACACTTTATTCTGTTATTCAGCAGTGCCCCAAACTCTGACCTACAAATAGGTCAGCTATTTTTATTCCTTGTGTACTTCACTTCAAGTGATTGCATCAAGCAGGAAATAGCAGTTAATAAATCAACCAACACAGCAGTGTAAAATAAGAATCTCTATATAAACCCACACAAACATCAGAAGGTTATATTTTTGTATGGGTTAAAATGGTTCATAACTATACCTCATGACATGTTGATTCTTGGCACACTCAACACAGGCATTCCTCAGACATCTGAAGCACTCTGCTATGAGCAGCAGGCAGGTGTCTAGATCTACCAGTTCACAGGAGTCCTTGTAGGCCTGCTCAATTTCACTCGAGGCACTCATCAGGATTTCAAGAAGATTCCGAAATAGACTTTCTTCTGCCATTTCTCTGAAATAAACAAATTTGTAGTGAAAAAAAAGTGCCACTAGCAAAAAGCATTATGACAGTTATGCTTCTTATTGTAAAACCAAAGATGTTTCTGAATCAAACTGTAATTGTCCTTAGTATACAAGGTCTTTCATGTAGAAAAAGCAGAATATATGCAAACAATTGTCCCAGCAGCCTTTTCAGAAAAGGGGCTGTGTGGGAGTTCTGTTGCCTTAGCATTCCTACAGCTTTCCAACAGCTCTTTGGAATCTAAAAAACAAACAAACAAAAAGTGTCCCTAATGCCTACAGCTAGCATGATTATAAACAACACTGCATGTTAGTTTAAGAATTAGATACTGATTTAATTAATCAACACAGTTTAGTTGTGTAGCACTAGATGTTTCATAAGAAGGTATGAGAAGCTCCATTATAAAACACACTGACACAAATTTCACCAGAGGGAGAAAGAGGCGTGAAGAGTCTGTGGCTGCACTAGAATCATTCTGAAGTGTGTAAATCAAAGCCAAGGGAGAAAGTCAACTCTGTCTATTTCAGCAGAAAACTACCCAAACAAGAAAAAAAAAATTACCATGCCACTTCTTAGAGTATTAAGATCTAGGAAAACAACACTACAAAACCATAAGCACATAGCCAGATACTATACGAAAGGATGAGAGAGCTAATGCTGCTGCACCAGGTAGCTTCCCCAAACCCCTAAGGACCAATGCGCACATCTGCAGATGATCTGTCACACAGATACACACAATGTTTCCAAACTACAGCTATTCACATACTCTCTCTCCTGATTTTTATATTCAGAAAGGAGATGAGGCTAACAGATTACAAACATTGCTAACTCAGTTTTGAGATTACATGCTGGTGAAAAAAGCCACAGTAAAGAGCATTTATGGCATTGCTACCGGAAAGCTCAATAAATTTGCTCATCCAATACTTCTGATCAGAGTGGGGAAAAAAAAAAAAAAAAAGGGAAATCCAGACACAGCTTCCTTGAAGCTTAAACAGACCTGTCATGTACTCAAGATCAAACAGGAAAGTTAGGATCTGAGATATAGGTTGAGAAATACCTCCTAAGCTATGAACAGCAGAAAGTGGAATTAAATGGAAAGTAATATTAAACAAAATACGTTCACACAGAAAACTTTTCCTAAAGGAGAAAAAAATTTCTTGATAAAACATTAGTGGATGATGATATACAGTATTACCTGTGCTCTGCTGCTCCCTCAAATGTCTAAACAATTGCACAATTAGAAATTCTACCTACCCTTCATCATAAGTGATCACATGTCCATAAACCAAGCCATGTACACAAATACAATTAAATTACTACAACATTAGATATCCAATCTCCAGCAAATATGTATTTGATTCTGCAACCTCACAGCTGATCAAGACCAATACTCTTACACAATCTACGAAAAAAAAGCCCATCACAGCATCAACGAGAATTATTGACAGGGAGGGAAAAGAAAACCCCAAGCTACATTTCACAGTGGAGTAATACTGAGGGAGGAAAATACCAAAGTGGCACAAGAAAGACAAAAAGCTGACCTAGTACTCAGTCATAAAGAAAACAGTGGAGCTTATATAACCAGAAAGAAGGTTTGGAATCTGGTTTTGTTTTTAAGACCCAAGAAAAGACATTAATGGGACCTGAACCCTCCATTTACAAAAAGTGGTGCAGCTCCCGCCGCTTCATCACAGGCATGAATGCCAAAGAAGATTCTGTGGCTGATGTACCACAGCATACATGGTAAATCCATACAGGCACAAATTTTTCTACACATCAGAAGAGCTATTGTCCAGTAAAGGAGCGCCCAGCCAGGCCCTGTCCCAAACACACAAAAGCCCTGTTTTCTCTACTGAGTGCAGATGCCATACAGAACCATAAACTGTTAGTCAGCTGAGCTTTTAAACACTGAAATTATTCTAAAATAGGAAATCTCCCAATCCAATTGCAGCTTCCTTTATAATCCAACACATGGTCTACGCCTACGTGTTGGACTATCACATGAAACTGGTCATTTCCTGACCCAACACCAAAATACAGAAATCAGTGGTCAGTGCAAGACACTGTACAACATTCAATTATTTGAAACTGGTAAAACAGAAATGAAAAAACCTGCAAGTACTTTTGTGCATGTTCTTGTGACTCTACTGTTAAAAGGACACCTTAAAGTCATTCTGATCCTGGAAAAGTTTCTACTGTTGTTACAGAACACAAATTTTAGTCAGATAACGCATCACAAACATACCAGGCCATTGTGACCATTTTTCTCTTAATATTAAATTGAAAGTA